AATTTACTTTTTGTTAGTTTCAGTGATTTATACCTTTTCCCCAAAGTTAAGTCTTCTATGGATATGAAAGCTTAACATTTAACAAGCCCTCTGGGAAGGTAGTAGGCCCTTGCTCTTTAAATCTTTTCAGCATTTGCTGTATTTTTTCTTCTTTTGTCCAGGTATGTGCATAAATAGTGGTTCTCAACCAGGGTACATGTCCCTCTAGGAGTATGTACAGGTCTGCTGGGGATACATCTGTTCATCTAGGTATTTGCTTAGTTTTATAACAGGCCACATAAAAAGCACTAGTGGAGTCATTACAGTCTAAAATGTCATACAGACAATAACTTGTTTATACTTCTGTAGATACCATACATTGGAATGTAAGTAAAATATTGAAAATTCCAATTGATTTATTTTAATTGTATGGTAAAATGAAAAAGTAAGCACATTTTCAGTACTAGGGGCTGTGACATACTTGTATTTTTGTGTCTGATTTTGTAAGCAAGTAGTTTTTAAGTGAGGTGCAACGGGATACACAAGACAAATCAGACTCTTGAAAGGAGTATAATAGTCTGGAAGGGTTGAGAGAGCCACTGACCTAGTAGATATGAGTGTATGTGCATATGACAGTTCCCCATAGAAAATACCAGAAGTGTCAGTAATGGAAATTCCTGTTGTTTGAGTGTAAAATGGAAGTTCTGATGGTCCTTAACCATGTAACAAATCTTCCATTTTAACAATGAAAAATTAGAATAAATAGGGAAATGGCGCTCTCTGAAATTTTTGTATGGAGCACCACATTTTAAGAGATTGTTGTGTTGTATGTTCCATTCCGTTTTTGGCCACTTGACACATCTGTTAGCTACAACCATTGCCGTGAACAACAACTTTATGGCAGTATCTAAATCAGAACCATGTGTCCAGTAAGCTCTCCACAAATCACAGTTTGGGAACCATAGGGATGAAATAAGACTGGTTTTGAAAAAGGAAATGCTACTAGAGAGTCTGACAGGACTTGTTTTGCAATGAAGATTCCTAACTTCACAGGTATTTCCAAACTTCTTTCCCATTCACTTCACCCCATTCCTTTGGTAGTCAACTGCATTGTCAGACTGCTTTGTCACAGGAAGTCCACCTCTTTCTACTGTGATCTCTAATTGTACTGGATACTTAGCTATCAAACCAGGGTAGAGAGAGAAAAAGGAGTTTGCTATTAAGAACAATTAAATCTTTGCTTTTCTATCTGTAGAAATTTAATTGATTCACAACAGCACATCAGTTGTCTATATGAGCTTAGGTAGTGGAAAGATCCAATGTATCACGAGAGGAATGTTGTAGCTTTTTCTGGCCAAAAAGACAATACAGATTCATATGCTGGAAATAACCAGAGGAAAAGAGACTAGGAACTACATAGTGTACATGTTTTGTGAATGGAAAATCTGTTTTATGAAGAGGTGGAAAAAAAATCTGAGGATAATTCATTAGCCATGGGCCAGTAACTAATTTGGTTTAAACTTGCATCTGATTACAAGTGATACCTTATCACTGTGCTCAGATGTATAGAGCATTGCCTTTTTCTTCTCAGAATTAGTGTGAAGCAGAACTCTTTTCCTGATAGTATTCATGTTCTAACTTTTCCCATATACCCTTTCCACTTAGGTCAGGTCTACACTAAAGGGGAAGGTTGAATTAAGATTTGCAACTCCAGCTACGTTAATTACATAGCTGGAGTCGGTGTACCTTACTTCGAGTTTCTACATGGTCTTCATTGCGAGAGGCTGATAGAGCAAATGCTCCCATCGGCTTCCCTTACTCCTCATGAGGAGCAAGAGTACCCGCAGATAGGGGCACCCTCTGAGTTCAATTTAGCGGGTCTTTAGACTAGGCTCATTGGTTAATCCTAATGGCTAAAAACACCCCCCGCCCCTCCGGCTGCCTCTGTGTCAGGAGGGGGGTAGACAGGAGCTGGTACCTTGGGGAATTGGCTTTTAAGCCGGTTTCCTGCATGTGCCAGCTCCTACGGAGCCACCTGCCCGCCCCCACTGCCTTCCACAGAGACAGTATGGTGGGAGCCAATATGCATGCAGACCTGGCTTTTAAGCTGGCTCTTTGCATGTGCCGGCACCTGCAGAGCAGCCTGCTCCCCCTTTGCTGCCTCCTGCAGAGGCAGCAGTGCGTACTGCTTTCTATGTAAAGAGCTGTTAACATATTAAAATATTTGTGTGCAACTTAGGGTGTCTTGGGTAGGGTTGGGAGCGTGATCAGTTATCTTCTGCTCCAACCTCAGTATACTGGTTACACCTCCAAAATCTGGCACTCGCTGGTCCAGCACATTGTCCTGGACCAGAGAGCCTGGGAGTCTAATAGCAGGAGATCAGGGTCGGCGGCCTGTCTAGGGGCAGTGCGGGACTGGGACTGGAGCCCCGCAGCTGCCTCCAGCAGCCCGTGGGAGTGCGGGGCTGAGGTTCGAGCCCCACGGCTGCTGGCTCCAGGGAGCTGGAGCCTGTGCTGCCCAGTGAGCCAGCAGTAGCTGGGCAAACAGCCCAGTCAGGTTGTGGGGAAGAGTGAGGTAGGGTTGTCTGCTGGGCCAGCCTGCCAGCAGTGGTTGATGAGTTTGGCGGCCAGTGGCAGGAGACCTCCCTTGGTCCGGCAAATTCTCTCGTTCGGGTCCAGTCAGATCCTGATGAGGACTGACCAGGGAGGTCCAACCTCTAGTTAATTAAAAACCTTATTTTTATCAGGAAATGGTTTGTAGTCTTGCCAACCCTAACTAGAATTTGTACTCTGTATGGGTACGGCTACACTGTGTTTTTTTTTCTGAAGGTATGGAAATTGTGCTCAAATTTGCATATCGTCTTCCGTTTTTTTCTGGAAGAGGATTTTCCAATATTTGGCCAATCTAAATGGGGCCAGATGTCGGAAAAAACCCTCTTTCGGAAGCCCCCTTATTCTTTGTAAAATGAGGTGTATGGGGGCTTCTGAAAGAGCTTTTTTCCCCGGCATTTGGCCCTGTGTAGATGGGCCAAATATCGGAAAATCCTCTTCGGGGGGGCGGGGGGGGGGAACCGGAAGAAGATATACAAATGCCAGCGCAA